ATTGTGTTTTTGTGCTTATTTTCGTGTCTTCTTTGTGCTCGAGTTTAGTGTTTTTAGTTTCGTTTCAGTGTCAACCGGTCTATTTTATCGTGTGTCGTGCATTTTTATTCTCGTATTGGGTTTTTGTGGTTCGACGTACTTTTTTTTGTCTTTTTAGTGTTTTTTAGGTCCACAATATACGAGTTTGGGAAGACAAGCCATTCCCAAGGTGTTTCCGAGCCGTCCAAACCATGTCCTAGTCATACGAACCATTTCCGAGCCATTCCGAGAATATTCATTAATTGCATGGTGACACCCATTTACACATCTCAAGACGAGGAGAACCAGATTTGAGAACTGTGTTTCGAAGTTTCAAGTCAATCGGATAAGCGAGCGAGAAGTTAGAGTAAATCAAGCATCAAGAGGTCACGGGACCATCTGTAGCCCGCGAAAATGGATTCGCACCCGCGAAAAGGTGCTAACTCGCGAGTTTCTCAACCAGTGCCCTGCTGCCCGCGAGTTTGAAGATTCGCGCCCGCGAAATTGCTCTATCCCGCGAGTTTCGCCCATGCGCACATCCCAACACCTGCGAGTTTCCAAGCTCGCGCCCGCGGAACCGAAGTCGCCCGCGAGTCCCATGCCCATGTGCCTATCCGTTGCACTCGCGAGGGAGCCTTTTGCTCGCGAAAATCCGGCCCTTGCTCGCGAAAACCACTTAACTCGCGATTTTTCTCATTTAATATGTGTGTTTTAGTGTGTGTTTGTGATGTAGCTATAAATAGAAATCTTGTTTTTGTATTTTTGGAGAAATTCCTCATTTGCTAAATTTTTCTTTTTAGTTTTTTGCTCTCTTCTCTCTCTAGATTTCCTTCTCTCTCTAAGGGCTCCAAAACTCTATTTTTATTGTAATATTTATCCATCAAGGTTACAACTTTTCGACTTATTTCTTCTCGTGGATGCATTAGAGACGAAGAGACTTCGCTTAAGGTTCATGATTTCGTTAGTCTTGCTTGTCTTTACTTATTGGATTTATTCTAGGGTTAGATAGGCCATCCATGAGTCGATTATGCTATCACCATCGTAGGCTAGGGATTATGTGATATTGTTATTGATTGCGTGAACGAGAATTGATAGAGAGGTTAATTGATCACGAGTGACTTTCGCTTAGTTGCATATTCCCGAACCTATGAGTGCTTTCTTTCCATCTTGGGTCTAGGAGTACCTTGTTATTTTTCTCTTATTTTTCTTTTTTTCTTGCAAATTGAGGACTTGTTTGCTTTAGAAATTGAATCGTGCTTTCGTTCTAGTTCAAAGTTACAATCTTTAGCTTTACACAACCACCAAATCATGCGAGTAGAATGTTTAGGATTTTTATTTTCTTTTCTTGTATGCGTCAATCATTGCTTGAGTCCGTGTCCGAATAGCCTTCCTTTGAGAACGACCCGAGTCCGGGTAACTCGGTTACCAACTATCCAAAAAAAAAACTACAAACAATGACAAGCATCGAAAATAAAGTTATGCGATTAAATCGAAATTCTCCAGACGATACGACGAACGACTAATAAAATCTATCAGAGCTAGCACATGTATATAATTTGTTCACAATAGTAATATAAGTAAAATGCAAGCATTAAAATAAATAATTAAGGCATAGTAATTCCAATAAAATGTTGATAAATAGAATAAAATCAAGAAATTCTATAAATTGAACGAGGCACTGCAGGTCGCGCTTTGGTTACCTGGTCAACCAGTGCGCGATCTCAGGTGTTCCCGATGGGACCCGGCAACGACCTAGGCCTCTCTCTTGCATACACGTCGTGCCCGGTCATGGGTGTTTGCTGGTGCAAAACCTCCATTCGCATCAAATTGCCACGCCGCGTGGCACGTAGATAGTCCTTAAATTTTATCACTCCACATCAGCAGCAAATCCCTGTTATAGGGATCAGTACACCAAAAATAAGAAAAACTGAGACTTAAACGTAACATTTTGAATTTCGGACGAACTAATGTACCAATTTTCTATAGTTGTCAACTTAAAGGACCAAAATAGAAACTTTTCCCAAATAACAATATATGAAACTTATCTTATTCACATTATCAGATTTTAGATTGTAATGAGACAATATATGAAGCAAATCAAGCATATGAAAAACAAGAAATTAGTAAAGGAACAAATTAACAAATAACCTATGTACACTACCACTTGATAAAATCATGAGTGTGGCCAACCTTTTCTCCTTAATTTAGTAGTCATAGTGGGGTTGGGATGTGAAAAGCACTTTGTAACAACAATTAGAGAGCATGGATATGAATAGGAACCAATCAATACATATCTCCTTTTTTCCAAAAAATGCATATCTCTTTTCCTTGATTCCCTTCATGTGCTAATTCTACACACATATTAACATACACATTTAAAAAAAAAAAAAAAAAAAAAAAAAAAAAAAAACACTAAACTCCATATTGTTTCTTGGTATTCTTGTTTCTATCATTTGCTGATGATTGACACCTGTCTCAAAGCATGAAATTTTGGGTTAATATTTCTTTGGTCTTAGCAATTTGTTTACGGGTATTGAGGCCTGCCCTTAACTCAAGGAACCCCTTATTATTTCGCTGCACACTCAGAGATTCTTATTGGTTTACCAAATTGAGTTCACGTGGGATTAGCCAATACAAATCCATCTTTACAGACAACAACCATCACTATAATCATTGTTTTTAGAGAGAGCGTGAGTCTAGGTTGTAAATGAATTTGAACTCGACCTTAGGGTGCTCGAGCCTTTAACGAGTCGAGTTGAGCTCGGTCCGTTAAATAAACGAGCCTGAAATCGAGCTCGATCTCGAGCCTTAACAAACCGATCTCGAGATTTAACAAACGAACTACAAAAAATTATATAAAAATTCTATTTTCGAGCTGAGCCGAGCTCGTAAGACACACGAGCTTTGAATGAGCTGGAGCTCGGCTCGTTAAGGCCTCGAACTCGAGCATAACTCGAGCCTTAACGAGCAGAGTTTGAGCCGAGTCGAGCCATACTCGTTTGATTTAACAGCACAAAATGTGACCAAAACGCAATAGAAAAATTTTAAAAAAAAAAAAGAAAGAAAGAAAGAAAGATGGATTAAAATAATAGAAACCTAACAAAGTTTGCTTTAATTGGTATATTCATCATAGATTTTTAATAATAAAATAAAGTTAAATTGTGATGTGGGGATGCAAATAAATGGTGACTACATGAACACAAGTTCAGCCCATTGGAAAGGTTTTTATACAGGAGTTATTGTAATCGAAAATTTAACTATGAAATGATCAATTAATAATTAAGAAAATGCTACGGTCTCGTTACGGAATCATTCCATACGTCGGGGTTCGTAATCGTTAGATCAACTATTCCAAACGGTTACATGTTGATCTAACGATTAAAAATCCCAACGGAATAATTTTGTAACATGACTGTATATTTCCTTAATAATTATAAATTAATTGTGAGTCGGAATTTTTTGTAACGGTCTACATAACTCAAAGTCAAATCGATTTTAATGCTATTAGTCGGACACCTTAAAATCGCGTAAAAACTTTGCTATAACATAATTTTCATATTTTATTGGTTAATTACAAATTCCACTATATCATAAAAGTTACATTATCTATTATGTTTTATCCAAACAATGTAGATATTCATATATGGTTAAATAATTTATACTGTTTAGTTTCACTAATGATTAACTTTTAACAATGTGATACTATTAGCTAACTTATAATTTTAATATTATATGCCAACATATAATTTATAATAGTTTGCTCATATATATGTATATGTATATGCACATGTCAAATATTAATAATAACAACAACAACAACAGTAATAATAATAATAATAATAATAATAATAATAATAATAATAATAATAATAATAATAATAATAATAATAATAATAATAATAAAGAATTAAATTAAAAATAAACAAATGCAAGAGAAAATAAAGAGGGCAGCTGTAAAAAAAAAAGGGCAATAAGTAGCTTCCCAGGTAAAACCTCGAATATAGTAAAAAAGCCAATAAAATGTCTCATTGTGTCTGCCCCAAGCTTTGGTACTCAGTTTAAGGTTTAAGTTACTTAAATAGGAATAAAGTTTTTCCCATTATAGGAATATATTAAGGATAAACAAAATATTCCCCACGTGTCAATGAACTATAAGGTGGCCATTAATTAAACAATTATTTCCACTTACTGTGTGTGTTTGAATAATTAAATGACAACTTGGTTCACAAGTTCTAGACTAATAATGTTTCTTTGTAACCCAATTTTTGTTCTTTAATTTATCATGAAATAAAAAAAAAAAAAAAAAAACTCTACGCTTAATATTCAAATAACACAATTTAGTTTTTGTTAGCAAGAAAAAATATAAATATATATTTTGCAAGAAAAAAAAAAACCACATGTAAAACAATATTATAATTTTCATGTAAAATTAATTTCATTTTTTACAGAGCTGATATATGTGATAGACCGGTACTATAACAAAATAAATATTTTTAAAATTTCGACATCGTCGTCGAAAAGAATCCACGATTATAAAATTCGAGCAACTAAAAATTTAAGCAAACCAAACTGTGACACGATTGTGCTCAACCGAATTTAAAAATACAAAAAAGTTCCCATTATACCCCCTTTGGAGACCACATGCGGGTTTTACTACTTTATTTGGTATTACACATCACCAAGGGCTTGACTTTGATAGCAATCTCCTCTATCCCTTCAACTAAAAATACACACTTTTGCCCAATCAAATAGAAATAGCAAAAGCTACTCATTATTCCTCAGCTCAGTAGTGAAAGGTACCAATTTTTCTCCTTTTTTTTTTTTTTTCTTTTTCCTATCTTCTTGAATTAATTCATTCTCTCATTATCATAAACTCAAATCTAATTAACATTTATTCATTCTCATCCCTAGAGGAACGAGAGAAACCCTAAACAAAATCCAGATTGATCAATCGAACGATCGTTGATAAAAATAATAAAAAAATGGGGAGGGGAAAGATTGTTATTGAAAGAATCGATAACTCGACGAGCAGGCAGGTGACATTTTCGAAGAGAAGGAGCGGTCTACTGAAGAAGGCCAAGGAGCTTGCTATCCTTTGTGATGCTGAAGTTGGACTTATCATTTTTTCGAGCACTGGCAAACTTTACGAATTCGCAAGCACCAGGTTTGGGATCTAATTAATAATTCTTTTTTTTTTCTTAAATCAAGAAAGTTTGTATTTATGTATGTGTGATCTGATTTAAGTTCGGAGCATAGTTTTATTATATGAGGCCCAAAACCGAGTCAACTAGGTCAGAGATGACCTAAAACCACCAACGGTTCGGTTCAAAACACATCTTCTCATCGTGAGAGTATCGTGCTGATAATATGTTATGAATATATATATATATATATATATATATGTAGCTTCACTCTCTTATTGTTCAAGCTTCGTGTTAAATTTGATATCTATGGAATTTTCGGCTCAAAAGCGCGTCAAGACAGAAGGAGCCTAAGCATAGAGCATAATGTCTTAACATTGAATTGGTGGTTTGGCTTCGTTTTTATGTTTGCAAGTTAGAAATAATGGGAAACTTATAAGGTCATCTAGAGTTGTGCATGTATACTATAAAATCGAACATTATTTAACAAAAATTAAAGAGACTAAAATTTTGTTGGAAGTGAAAAGTTGTTAAATTAAGCATGATTAATATTGACTAATGACCCCACCTCGATTGTAGAATGAACTTAAACTAGCTAGTTCATGAATCTATCTAAGAGATACTTATAAATACGATATATGTTGGTCCATATCTCTTCTGGAATAAAACAAGCCTTGACTATAGTTTGTGGCTGGTGTTATCGAGTCTAACTATTACACGGGTCGATCGATTATATCATTTGAATAAAATTATAAATTTGTAGTTGAGAGATATCGTATTTTTATTTATTCTATTTTTTTTTAATGTATGTCACTTTTAATATAAAAGTATTCGTATTTATTAAAATTATAGCATTTATTGCTTATTTGTCAAGAAAGTATATGAGCATCTACAATGCATTGGGTCTAGTCTTGTCTATGTGACATGTAAATAAACTCAAGTCTTGGATGATATGGATAAAAGTATGTAAAATTAGTAAAACTTACTCCAATGCAAAGAGACTATCTCTACTTGGGTCTAAAATAGACTTAAGGGTAGACCGGGTCTCTTTTTCTGGCTGCCACATCAGCAGAACTTAGTCTACTTTTGTTTGCACTGGAGAATACATTTTTGTAGACTAGGTCTATTTCTTATGTGTCATACAATTTTTTGTGATTGAACCCAAAGCATTGTGGATGCTCTAATTGTCATGAGCTGTTCAAGTAATTTAAGAGAATATATAAGCTACTCAAAATACTAGGGATGTCAATAAAACTCATAGAGTCGGGTTATCCGCGGGTTACCCGCATTTTCGGGTCGGGTAAAACCGAGATGATTGTGTTTCGGGTCGGGTTAGGGTAAAATTATGCTACCCGACCCCCGGGTCGGGTCGGGTGCGGGTATAGTAGGCAAACCCATTACCCGACCCGATTACCCTACCCGTTTACCCGTAACCATTGAATCATATATATATACATACATATGTATGTATATATATATTTATAAGTTATAATAACTATAAAAGTAGTCATTAGTTATTTTTAAAAATTAGACTATCTATTATAATTTTGATTAATGGTTAAATTTATTTCATTTTTTATAATTTTATTATCATTTTTTGTTAATTGTACAATAAAAAATTAAATACTTAAATTTTAATGTTATAATACTAAATAGACTAAAAAATATAAATTATCATATCTCATTATTTATTCCAAAAATAATATAATTTTTTTTATAGTTTTTTATTGTCAAACTTAGTTAATAAATTATTTCTTACATTATAATTAATTGTAAATTATTTTATTTTATTTTTCATATAAAACAAGATGGGTCGGATAAAACCCAAATTTGAGACTCGAGTTACCCGTTTACCCGACGAAAACTCACTAACCCGCCGGGTAAACCCAACCCGAACCCGAAGATCACTAGTCGAGTAACAGGTCAGGTTTGGGTAGGATAAATTATATACGGGTCGGGTTCGGGTTTGCCAAAACCCGTACCCAACCCAACCCATTTACATTCCTACAAAATACCAAGATTGGTTCATTGAAATAACTAGTTCAAAACATCCACGTGCTAATCAATTGAAATAAATTATACTTAAACTTAACAAAAAGAGAAGTTTTTTTTGGTAAAGTTTAGAATAATTTCTAAAAATTGTAATTATTATTTTCATTTAAAATGATACTCATCATTTGTATACGACTTAACCTACATGTATTATAGCATTTTTAAATCGTATCTTTGTAGATAATAAAGAACTGTTGTTTTTCATTTAATATTAATAGATAATTTAACTTTATTATAAAGATAAATATAATTGTTTATTTTATATATGCAATACAAATTTTAAATCGGAGATCATCTGGAGATGACTAATTTGACATATCATATATGAGAAAACAATAAGAGATATAATAATTATTAACTTTTAAAATATATTTATAATTTAAATTACTCAAATATTTTATAATTTTAAATATCCCAGTAGACATGGATAAAAGTTTGGGGAATACTCTGAAACGTCAGAAATTGACACATATGATTACCAAGAACTAGATTCGATACATGTAATTACGAAACAAGGCAAAAATTCGAAATTGGTCATATAATTTGACCACTGTCCAAAAAACCACCCCTATATTGACCGCTTTCAATTTAGATCCTATAATTTGTCGATTTCATCAATTTTGGTCCTTTTTTATCCGTACCTTGGATTAAAAAGTGACGTGGCATGAAAAAATTACCAAAATTGATGAAATCGACAAATTATAGGACCAAAATTGACGTGCCACGTAGATCATAATCACGCCATGTAACCTTAAAAAAACTGACACGTCATACCACGTCACTTTTAAATCCAGGGTCCAGATAAAAAGGACCAAAATTGATGAAATCGACAAATTATAGGACCTAAATTGAAAGTGGTCAATATAGGAGTGGTTTTTTGGACAGTGGCCAAGTTATAGGACCAATTTTGAAATTTTGCCTACGAAACAACATACATTGACACATAAGCTCCATTAATGTATACATATGGATTACATCTATCTATAATAAAACTTGTGCGTAGCTTGTGCGATGCACGTAGCACTGTCAAAACGGGCCATGGCCCGCGGGCTGGCCCGCCCGCCCGTCTAAACGGACGGGCTTGGGCCTTTGCTTGGCCAGCCCGTTCAATCGCGGGCCTATTTGGCCCGCCCCGTTTGGCCCGCGGGCTGGCGCGGGCCGGGGCGGGCCGGACCGCGGGCCAGCCCGTTTTTTTTTTTAATGATAAGTATTGTATATTTGTATTTTTTTTTGCCTTGAATTTAATTGTATAATATAAATATGAAATAAAATGTAATTTTTTTTATGACAAGTATTATATTATTTTTTTCTTGAATTTAATTGTATAATATAAATATGAAATAAAAATGTAAAGACGTGAAAAATTTGAGCAAGGTAGAGATTTGATGGAGCTGACAAAATATTGGTCGTCCACTTTTAAATGTCTCAATTCAATCACTTTCCTTAATATAGCATAATAGCAACAACAACAATTATTAAAAATAGCCAATTATTAAAGGATTAAAGTTTTTAATTTCATTTTGCATTTTACCACAATTCAATCACAATACATGATCACCATCGAGATCAAAATGTTGTTCAAGTAATTTTATTCCCACTGTTCCTTTTTTCCTTTTATAGTTTGAATTTAAAAACCAAAATTGCATTATAAATTGCAAAAAAAAAAAAAAATAATAATAACAATAAAAAACAGTAATTAAAAAAAAAAAAAAAACCGCGGGCGGGCCGATTTGGCCCGCGGGCTAATGCGGGCGGGCTACGGGCCATGGATTTCCCAGCCCGTAGAAATGCGGGCCATTTTGGCCCGCCCGTTTGAACCGCGGGCCGGACCGGCTCGTTTGACAGTGCTAGATGCACGGGACACAAGTCATTTTCACAGTCTATGCCTGTTTAGGGAAAAAAAACTTGAGTTGGACCATCTATTTTCTACTTATTTTAATCAATGAGATTACCCCATGCACTCTTTTTTTTTTTCCAAACGATAGATGATCTCCATAGCACAAAATAAAATCACAATGTTCAGGTACAGACCAATAAAGAAAACAGCCGGAGGCATAAGCCAGGAACACTACTACAAAGGGAGCCTAACCAAATCATCTAAACACAAATAAGCCCAGAGGCAGAAAAGCATTTCTGAGTCCTCCAGGTGAATACAAATCGACCAAACAAATTACAACCCACAGGTTTAACAAAAAAAGAGAAAACTGAACCTAGCAAATAGCCAAGACTACTAAGACACTGAACTGATAAAAATCAGACCTATCTAAGCAAATCCAGTTCATCTGCAAGCCTTCAAATCAGCAAACTCCTGCCATTCAAGCCAAGCACCTTGCACAATACCATGATCTGGTCTCCATACTCTATCAAAGACCCACAGGTTTCTTGCCTTCCATAACCACCATAATATGTAAGTAGATAGTTCAATTCTGGCTTCATCCACTGCAGTGTTCTTGATAGAGCAAACTGATCCCCACCAATCCCCAAACTTGTCTTCCTCAGCTTTTAACCCATCCCAACTAACATGAGCCTGCTGCCAAACTTTCTTTGCTCTTCTGCAGGTCAATAGTACATGCTCTATAGTCTCTACATCCTCTCCACAACAGCTACAGATTATGTCAATGTTTGTTCCTCTCTTTCTCAGATTTGAGCAAACCGGTAAAGCACCATTTACACATTTCCACAAAAAATGTTTGAGCTTACCTTTAACTTTGAGCCTCCATGTCCTCATTCTGATATTTTGATTCCTTTTGGAATTGCCACTGCCTTAAGCTATGTCCAGCAAAAGAAGTTTCTGTCTGTGCAAGTGGGAATATGAGGAAGCCACTAAAAATCTGCCCTGGACTCCAAAGTTCCATCTCCATTTGTCCTTAGCATATCTGTCAAGGTTCTGAATTTTCAGCAAGACTTTGCTATCCTCCTCAGCAACCAGCTCTCTCACCTTCTGTTCATTCCATCTATTGTTGTCCTCATCTATCAACTCTTTCACTTTAATGTTACCTCCTTCAGCACCTTGATTAAGCATCAAGCTCCTACCTTTGATCCCAGGAACCCAATTGTGATCATTCAGCCTTACAGAATCTCCATTTTTGATATCCACCTGCAGCCCTTCTCTCAGCAAGTTCCTCACAGCCCACCAGGATCTCCATAACCAAGAAGAGCTACTATTCAACTGAGCATCAAAGATAGAAGTTTTAGGAAAGTACCTGCACTTTAAAATTCTACTCATAAGTAGCTGTGGTTATTACCCCATGCACTCTTGCTAAGCATCTTTTGTTTTTTATTACCTCCTTAATTTTTTAATGTCAAATATACTCCATAGTAGTACAAAAATAATGGTTTACTGTTGTTTTGTGTTAGTAATAATATTGTAATCCAATTAATTAAAGGATCTTTAACCACAAATCTACTTTCTTTTTTTGAAAATAGCAATTCATCTCATCCTTCTTCTATATAAATTAACTCAAATTTACAAGCATGTTCCAAACCCTTATTGCATATGACCAAATCGATCCAAGATCCCACATTTCGTTTGTAAATCTTGTCGTCAATGGCGAAGAGAAAATTGGAACAATATATTTCACATTCTCTTTCCCAACCGGGCGAACAAATCTATGATATGCAAGGAACCCTCAAACACTAATGACGATTTTTAGGAGAAATCACAAAAGTCTCGATTGCATGCCACCATCCAAGCTAGTTGCCGGATCATTTAATTTTATTTTCTCGACAACTACTCTGCATAAATCTCTATATATGCAGTCTCTCTCAACTAAAACCATTCCAACATAAAAGTCCTTGTATTCATTGTTATCTCATCTTCCGTTATAATGGATGAATATCATTGTTGACAACATTATCTGGCTGTAAAGTCAAAATAAGGTTAACTTTCCATTTATGTTGAGTAAACGTTTACTAGTACACACTCAACAGAACATTTTTAACATGAAGAGCAATATAATACGAAAATAAGTTACTTGAACCATGATTTTTGGATTATACAACTAACATATGTTTGTAACAGTGATCGAATGATATAATCATCAATCAAAATTAATATATAAAAGAACTATGTTTGTAATAATAAAGTAAAAACAGGGTTTACATTGAGTAAATGTTGAGTAAAGTTTTCTAGTACACAGTCCACAGAATATTTTAAAGATCAAGTTCATTAGAATACTAAAATACACAGATGGTTCTCCTTCTCCATTTGACATGCGAAATGAAAAAAAAAAAAAAAAAAGGTAATCATCAATTACACAGATGTATCTTTGTCTTTAATGGCACCATTAATTTACCCATAATATTTATGTTTATAGTAACATTTAAATATAAAGATTTCATTAATTCTATGTTGTAATCTTGTTTATTTACTTTCATAACTGATTAGAAGCTTATTTTCGGTATTTAGTTTTGTAAAAATTATAATGTTGGTAATTGAAAGGGTTTGGGACATACATGCCATATAAAGTTTACAGTGTTCGATATGTGTACTTTGGTCTTTTAATTAGCATTTTTTTTTTTTTTTTTGCCAAAACGTTAAATATGAGTCTGTTAGCGCTAGCTTGTAAATTAAATAATATATTATCCCGCTAACATGTTTATACTAATATAAATTTTATTCTAATATATTTATTTATACCTTGATATATGAAAAAAATAGCAATTTTATTTATTTTTTTCACCATATAATGCTTAATTATTATTTTATTATAAATTTTATTATCGTATAATGAAATTATTATTATTTATAAATTTATAGAAGTATTATTCTTCTTAATTTTTATTTTATGTAATGAAAAATATTTAATGTACATTAATATTATATATTTAAAATATTTAATTTAATTATGTAAATAATTTTAAAAAATAAATTTTGTGTATAAATATTTTACAAAATATATACACATGTATTTTTGCATTTTAATGGTTTAGAGTAATTAACAAACTTTGATTTAGAAAACTCTATAAATTAAATTCCTTCTATAATCAAGACATTTTTTTTTCATCCTAAAGCTTTATAGTTTATTTACCATATTATGCAATGCAAATATATTTTATGAGAATATAATTATGTAAAAAAATAACATTAAAATAAAAATGATAAACAAAGTTAATAATGGTTGACAATAATATACAAAAAAATTACAGGGAAAGATTCAAAACTAGTACCACAGGTATAGGGAGGTGACAATTTTGGTCCCAACGGAATGCAGAAAATATGAATAGTCCCACAACTTTTTAAAAATGATCAAAAGTATGACTTTTTTACCGGATTTACTATTTTCGGCCCGGAACGTAACGTCGCGTACATATGGCTTATTTTTTTACACATTGGCATCCGACGTGTCATATTCTTTTCACAAGCTGTGGGACTATATTTTTCTGCATATCTGTGGGACCAAAAATGTCATCCCCATATACCTGTGGGACTAGTTTTGAATTTTTTCCTATCTACGTCGGATGCGAACGTGTAAGAAAATAAGCCACATGTGCGCGACGTGGCGTTCCGAGCCAGAAATAGTAAATCCAACAAAAATGTCCTACTTTTGATCATTTTTTAAAAGCTGTGGGACTATTCATATTTTATGTATTCCGTTGGGATCAAAATTGTCACCCCTATACTTGTGAGACTAGTTTTGAATTTTTCTAAAAAATTACAAGTTGAAATTCTAAAAAATAGTTAATATATTTCTATTTTATTATCTGACCATTAATAAAACTATTTAATATAACTAGACATTATCTCTTAAATAGTAAATTATATTAATTTGAAGAATAACTTTTTATATATATATAATGAAATAACACATAAGAGAAAATTCTATTGACAAAGATTAATTCACCAACTTGATTTCACTTGGTTAATCGAAAGACTGAAATTTATCTAATCTGTTACGATTGTCTGTAAATATTTTAGGATGAAAAGTAAATATTTGTGAAAAATTAATAATATTGTTAATTATAACTTAAAATATGTTTTCATGTTTATCTTGACCAAAATATTATCAACATGAATCATGAAAAAAAATCAAATTTGTAGTTTATTATAATGGATATAAATGAAATTATTGTAGATGTTAATAAAATTATTAAAATATAGGAACACTTATGAGTTGTCACACATCCTTTGTACATCGATAATAGGCCTAACTTATTAGTCTAGTGGACTATTTCTCCCATCAGCCGATTATAAGTTTTGGGATGAAATCTCATTATGGTGCGTTTAGGCTCACCTTGTTATGGTGCGTGGCAGGCGTTTTAAAGAGTTACAAACATGGTAATTCTTATGTATATCTGTTCGATCATCTTTATATTTATTTTTGTTTATTATCCTTGTCAGCATGAAATCAGTTATCGACCGATACACAAAAGCGAAAGAGATGCACAATCAATTGCTTAATCCCGGATCGGAGATCAAGGTCTGATTGATAATATTCATCATCTACTGATAATTACATTTTTTTTTTCAACTTTTCTTTTAAATTTTACGTATATATAGCACTTAATTTTCTCATATATATTCTGGGTTTATTTGTATTTGACAGTTTTGGCAAAGAGAAGCAGTAACTTTAAGGCAGCAGCTACAAGATTTGCAAGAAAATCATCGGTAAATTAATATGGCCTAACTCAACATGTTAGAACATTATTACAATCAGCAGAATTTGAAGGAAAAAAAATTGGAAGATATATATAAATTGAGTTGGTGTAAATTAATGAAAGTAGGAAACTAATGGGAGAAGAGTTATATGGATTGAGTGTGAAGGATCTTCAAACACTCGAGAACCAGCTCGAGTTGAGCTTGAAAGGCGTTCGTATGAAAAAGGTATATATTCGAACACACGTATATTCCGATTTTTCGGTCTTTCCAAAAGATCCCATCTTCTCAGTCTGGTGGCTAATTTACAGGAACAAATACTAAACGAAGAAATTCAAGAACTGAGTCGAAAGGTATATGAATTTATTATGCCTAATGCAATGTTGAAACAACGAAAAGAACATCACCCGGATTGTTACGCGATACACATTTTGTTGAATTGATTGATTATTTTCAGGGAAATCTTATCCATCAAGAAAATGTGGAGCTCTACAAGAAGGTAAAACTCATCGAACAAGACAACACGGATATGTACAGAAAGGTATATGTTCATTACACGTATATAATACTAAATCGTCAATTAATTAGCATTAGTAAAAATCGAACCAATAATATTAAATCATCATCATTACATCAGGCTTATGGCACAAGGGATCTAAGTGCGGCGGCAAACTGTAGCGACGACTCTTTGTCGTTTGGTTTTACTTTTAACGGGCACCTGCATGGACCGATTCAGCTTCAGCTAAGCCAGCCCGCACGACAAAATAACGAGACACCACCAAGTATAAATGAATCGAGGTACATTAATAGTAAATTTATTTACCAAAAGTAGTACATTTTATTTATTTATATATTAAGAAAGGGCTGAAAATATATTCACAATTTAAATGAGTGCAGGTAATATTATCGTCACATATGATCGTTTAATCATATTTTAAAGGGCGAATACTTTTTTCGCTTGTATTTTTCCTTTTTCTTATTTTTTTTTTTTTTTTTTTTTTTTTTTTTTTTTTTTTTTTTTTTTTTTTTTGGTCTCCTTATCAGATGCTACCAAATATGAAATGCCTACGTTTGAATTTATGTAATCATGAAACGACATTGCACGGACTGCATTGCCATTTTCCCAACATAAGAAGGACAGTCCCGTTACATAACCATTCCGTTAGGATTTGTAACTGTTAGATCATCATGTAATTGTCGTACGTAGATAGTTGATCTAACGGTTACAAATCTCGACGAAAAAATTTAATAATATTAATAATAATAATAATTTTGTGAATCTTGTTCACATTAATTATAGTAGGTAGATTGGACACGAAAACTTAAATTCACACATTTCAATTTTGGTTTGTCCAAGTGTGGTTAGCAAAATCAATTGCAGCATGAGCTACTTGTCTATAGCTTTATTTCTATTTAATTTCGGGATCTAATTCACAAGTCGCAAGTTGCCACAATTATCATGAAAATCAACAATACAAGTGAGTGGCTGAAAAAAATACAGATGACTATTTTCTGAGTAAGCGAATTAATCACGAAACTACTATATATCGATGATTAATGTATCTAGCTAGAAAAATGTAAACATTAAGTCAAAATTGATTATACGCGTTAATTTTGACCCCACAACATATGTGATGACCAATTTTAATGTTTGGTTCAATCAAGTGGTGTCTTTTTTTTT